CTTTGTTTGAAAAGATGTTCCGGAAGGCCTTAGTTGGTTTGTGTGCTGTGGTAATAGTGTGGTTGTAACTGTATGTTGTTTGTTTCATATAGTTTTGATTATGGCAATGTTATCCTTTCCATAGCTTGTATTGGTTGTGCTATAATGGACTGAGTAGTCAGCCACTTTTTTTTAATAAAGTTTTGTGTGGGAATTTATTTTGTTAGAAGTTGTATAGGCAATCTGCTTCCCTTTTCTGGTGTTTGCAATGTAATGTTCTTACATAGCTCTTCTTGTAGAGGTTGAGTAATGGAACACCTGGTTAGTGTAGGTTATTTTTCAAAGAACTTGCATTTCTAATTCTCTGTTGTTTCCTTTGTTGATGATGGTGTTTAGAAAGAATAGTGTGCTGCCATTTCTTCTTTCCAAATCTAATTTGATAGATCTTTTGTCTGCTTCCGTTTTCAACCTTTCATGCCTGTTCCCTAGGCAGTGGCAAAATTGTTTGGCTTCAGGCTTCTGGTAAAGCCTATATTGCTGACTAGATAGAGTATCTAGTCAGCAATATATAAAATTGAAATGGGAGAAAAATTGTGCCAACTGATCTTACTAATAGTTTTGCATTCTTTTTAATCTCTTTATGTAGATAAGCTTAAAATAGCCTTGTTTTCTTTATTCATCTTTTCCTCTAGTTTTGCACTGGTTCTCAAAGCATTCTAAGCAATCTTAACATTGTATGTGAACCTGTGTTTATTCCTAGCTTAGATGAGATCCAGTCTCCAATTACTCCTCTCCATTTCAGGAAAACAGATGAAAGTAGATGGTATTTTATATAAACTCCTTGACTGAATAACAGAAGTAATCCTCAACTTACAACCATCCATTTAGTGATTATTCCAAATTACAATGACACTGAAAAAAGTCACCTACGACCAGTCCTCACAATCATTAAGCATCCCTACAGTTACATGATCAAAATTTGAGCATTTGGCAATTGCCATTTATTTACAACAGTTGCAGCAGGGCCATATGATCACCATTTTCAACTCTTAGCCAACTTCCAACAAGCAGTCAATGGGATTGACTTAATGGCCATATGATTCACTTAACAACTAGTGTTCACTTAAATATGGCAAAAATGGATGTATAATTGGGCAGGATTCATTTAGCAACATAAATTTTGATCCCAATAGTTCCATAGGTCAAGGACTATCTGTAAGCACTTGACCAGTTATATCCTGATAAACCTTTGATCTTATTTCTCCTACTTCAACTTCAGTGGAGCTCTAGGGTCATATAGCCATATACTCAAGACACCGTTGGAAGAAATATCCATCTGGTTTAGTCCCAAGCCAGGAGAAAGACAGTGGAAACACGGAGGCTGATTGCAAAGATGGTTTAATTGTGAAGCAGAACTACCAAGCACATGATTCTGGGCAGCTGACCACATGGAGTTGAGAGTGGGATGGGGTGATTATACATTTTCTTGGGCTTTGAACTTGAACTTCCTGTTCCTGTGCAAGAACATGTATTCTATTGGCTGTTGCCAGATTCCTATGGGGTCATGTTTGTCTGAACTCCCAGCTTTGGTTGAAGTTTGCTGAATGATGCAATGTCCTCAAGAGATTGTGCAAAGCAGTGAGCTAAATGGTCCTATTATGTCCTGATGGGCTATGTCTTAATCCCACCAACCTGGAGCTGAAGGTCTTTTGTCTTGTAGATAGGCTGGCCCAGTCCTGCTGGGGTTATTAAGAAAGGTGGGGGCTGCTTTCCAATAGCATGTTTCTTCTTTAGGGAAATATAATATTCTGCCTTTTTAATATTTCTCAAAATATTTCATTCTTCTAGGAGAGGGGTGGCTGTTAGTACAGCTTCCCAATGTATGTCTGCTCTTAAAACACTTAGGTGTCTCTTCTCCAGGAGTCTTTTTCCCATCTCATCCAGCATCTCATAAATCCTAATATCAACTGCTCAGTCCATTTTTAGGTTTACAATACAACACACTATCTTTAACAGCTATATGAATAATCAAATTCATTTTAGCTATCATAATTCCTTTAGCTGTCAGCTAACTCATCCATTGCTCTTGTGCCCCAGAATCCCCTGAAATGAACATGACATTTGGAAATTAATGCCAATTAACTGTCTCTTCCTACTTTTCCTGTGAATACTGTATCACCGGCTTTACAATCTTCTCTTGCTAGTTCCTTATCAGCAAAGCAAAGAACCAACTGTTTTGTTTGGGTAGCTGCATGGATACATGAAGAGCCAAATAGCAACTATAGTGGGCAGCAGGCTTATCACAATCACTGTTCTGATTTTATTTTCTTCAACTTAATTGTTTCAGGCTGTACAATTTTTGCATTATGCAGTTATTTACCATTATTTTATTTTTTGTTTGCTTAGCACCCATGTACATATATGTCAGCTGAAGATAATCCTACATGTGAAGAATCCTGTAGAATCAGGCTAAGGATCTATCCACTCTGTACTGACTAAGCAAAAATATTCAGGAAGCAGCTTATCATTCGGCAATAAACTGCTGGCATTTAAGAGGGCATAAAACAGCCATTAACAGGCATTGATAGCAACTGGTCCCTTTTTTAAAAAAACCAACACCCAACTGCCTCAGTATCAGAACATAGGCAACTCTATAGTTTTTGCATTTTAAAAATGTCAATTCTAGAGCATGGAAACTTATACCATTGAAAAGAACTAAATATTTTTTAAATATCTGGTTTTTTTTAACGAACTTTATTCAGTTTTTCACATTAAAAACAAAAATCTCTTTTTAGTGGACAACATATTTCAGGGTCATCAGCTTTACATACAAATATGACAGCAATTATACATTGATATATGCATACTTAATTCTATTATTACCTTTTCCATTCCAAAGTTTCAGTAAGGAGAGAAACAAACACATTAATTCTAGCCTCTTTCATTAATCTCAATCGAAACATCTTTTTATTTAATTTCAATTATTTCAAATATAATCCTTTAATATTTATTTTTGAAAATAAAGATAAACAATGTTTGCCTAATAATAATAAAGTTTAATTCTAAATTCTTTCATTAATCAATCTAAACATCTTTTTATTTCATTTCAATTATTTCAAATATTTAATATTTAATATTTATTTTAAAAATAAAAATAAACAATATATATTTGCCTAATAATAGTAATAATGAAGTTACCAAAGTCTCTCCTTGTTTTTAATAGTCTATATTAAACTTATTAATTTAGCTGGTTCTTTAGTCTGTCATATTCCCTTTCCATTACACATTTTTTTTTATGAATTCTAAATTAATACAAATTTTCACACACACACACACACAAAGAAAAAAAAAATAAGTATACGTATACTGTTAAGGTACTTCAAAGAATCATTCTACGGAAAGGACTAGGCCACATAGTTTAAAAAATCTCACAAAATCTATACTTTGCAAATAAGTCTTACTTTCCTCAGACTAAACATCTCCCATTTTTTTAAAAAAACTATCATTTCTCTCCTGGTCCCCTCAGATGTACTTGTAAAAGTAATTTATTTGGCTGATCTGGTCTACAAAAACTTATGCCATAATATAATGGGTTAGTATTTAAAATATCATGGATCACTTTGCTTCTTTATATTACTCAGGATATGCATATTTTTCCCTTCTCTCTTCTTCAGAGGTTCATTATTACAACCTTCAATACCATGAAGACAAATTGCTGGAAGAAAAATCCATCTGGTCCAGTTCCAAGCTGGGCGAAAGGTGCTGGAAATAAAAAGGAGCTTGGAGCCTGATTGGAAAGAGGGTCCATTCATTGATGAAGAACCACCAGGGTTTGTGGCTCTGGTGCAGCTGACAAAATGGAGTTGAGAGTCAGTGGTTTTTATACCTTTTTTGGGCTTTGTATTTGAGCTTCCTGTTCCTGTGCAAGAACATGTCCTCCAATATTCTATTGCCTGTTCAGATTTCTATGGGGTCATCTAGGGGTCATAGCTGGCTCTATGGGCAAAAGAGGAAATGCAAATCCTAGGTGCTTGTCTGAGCTAATTTGGTTAAAGTTTGAATTGCTCTGGGGTGGCACAATGAAGGGGGCTTATGTCCTGAAAGGGAGTTGGGCAATTCATATTATGTCTAATGACTTTCGTCCTATGTTGGATCTTGGGTAAGGGGCTGCTTCTAATCCTACCATTCTGCCTTTGTTTCAAAATATCCTGTTTTGAATGGATTACCAAATCTGCATTTCTAAATGCTGCCTCCTGTTTCCGCTTGTGGGGGCCTGGAAACAGAGCCTGCTTCCTGCTTCTAAAAAAACAAGTTTCTCCATTTCTCATTTAGAGAAATATAATATTCTGCCTTTTAAAATATTCCTCAAAATATTTCATTCTTCTAGGAGGGGAGGTGGCTTCCAACAAAACCCACTCTAGGCGTAAGCACAGTTGTCAGTTGTAGGAAATTTAACAGACGGGGGAGCCATCTCCCTCCCCCAACTTTATTTCTGTTTGTAATGCTGCAATCAAAAGCACGGAGCAGAGATTTCCTTATTTCCTATACTTGGAAAAGCAGCGCAATTTTATGCATAATAATCAAGGAACCGACCCAATCCATCCCGACGGTATTGGGAGTCAAAGGATTCTACGCACGATTTCAGCCCGACTCTTCAAACCACAACCTGTTTTTTTTTTAAGGAGTCGGTGGAAAAACTGGTAGTATGAAGCGTGGAAGGTAGGGGGGAGATGATGACGACTGAGAAGAGCAAGCCGCCGGTAAGGCAACCTCAACAGGAACTCCCGGGGTTTGCCGCCGCTTAGTCAGGGAATTCCATGTCGCAGGGGGAGGGGAAACCTCTTAAGGGTAGCTCTTTACCACACTCTTACTTCCGGGTTTCTGCTCTCGCGCATGCGCAGTCTTCTCTCTCACCCTTGACCCAATCGCTTCAGGCCATCCCATCGACAAGTAACAGCATAGGGGGGGGTATCCGATCGTTTCCCAACTATAATTCGCGGTCTTAATCGCCGCGGAATGCTGTCCTTTTAAAAACCCCAGCCATTCTGCTTCTTTAAAGAGAAGCCCTGCTTCCGCCCCAACCTTCTGCGCCGTCTCCGATCCCTCCCCTTTATTCTCTGAGCGTTGGTACGCTCCACTTGAAGCCGAGCCTTGCGGGCGGACAAGACCACCCTACTCGCCTGAGGGGGAGGAGCTGAGGGCATTGTTGGGTCAGGGGGCGCGCGCTAATCGCGGGGATGGCTTGTGGTGGGCCCGTCACAACCCTCCGATAGCCTCCGCCCGTAGCTCAGTGTCACCTCAAGCACCAAAGGCGCGGCTGCCTCTTTTTCCGCCGCCGTCGTTTACTGCCGCCGCCGCCTCATCTTCACCCACCCACCTAGCCGTCTCCTTAGTGGTAGCGTCCGACTCCCAGCTGACCGGCCTGGAATCCCGGCATCGAGTCCCGGCCTGGATCCTCTTGCCTTGAGCTGCCCCTTCCCCTGCCCTGACCCTGAACACCGGTGCCGCCGCCGCCGCCGCCATGGGAGACGCCGGCAGCGAGCGCAGCAAAGCCCCCAGCCTGCCGCCCCGTTGCCCCTGCGGGTTCTGGGGGTAAGTAAAACGAGGAGGAGGAGGAGGAGGGGGAAGAGGAAGGAAGCTTGCAAAAGGGCCTGTTCGGAGTTGGGCGTGAGGCGCTTACTGTAGGCTTGGCCTTTCTCCGGACTCGGCTAGTGCGTGCTTCGGAAGGAATGACGGCCATAGTTTTTGGCCCGGCTTGGTGGCGAGGCAGGCTCGGCTCTTCCTTGGCCTTCCCAGACCCAGAACTCTCCTTCTGTCAAGGGAGGAGGAGGAGGAGGAATGGGGGGGGGGGGGGGGCCTTCCCCCGCCCCGCCCCTGGGGGGGGGGGGGGATAGGGGGGGGGGGGGGGGGGGGGGGGGGAAAAAAAAGCCACTATTGTATGTCTATTAATCTCCTTCTGTGTTTTTGTGGCACTTAACCGAATCGGATTTTTACCCGTGTTTCCCACCCCACTTCCTAGCTTCCCTTATGATTGGCGTGTGGTTGATTCTCAGCTATTGCAATATGTCAACTTTGTCTTCCTTCCCCAGGTGTGTGACATCTTCTAACCCCCTTCACTACCCTTCATAGAAACGGACAGGACTTTCTCGAGAGGGAATATAGTTTTGAACACTTTTGCTGGCTGCTATTTGGTGTTTTGGGGTGGTTTTTTTTGTTTTGTTTTTACCCCAAACCTCAAAAAAGTTTTAATGGTTGGCTCAATTCTGCGTTTCTCAACTGAATGCAGTAAGCACAAGAATGATGACACTGGCATAAAAAAAACTTATTCCTGTCTTTCTTGATTAAAGGACCCTCCCATTTAAAGAAGACTTTTTGGGGACTATATAAAATAAAGAGGGAATGCTAATATATACATGCTGAAAACCTAGATTTCTATTTTTACCCTTAAAAAAAACAACCAAACTGAATAGAAATACTTGCCAAAACTTTTAATAGCTTCCTTTACGAGTTGCCCATGAATCTTGAATAGCTAACCAATATGGTTGTCATAGCAATATAAATGATCATTGAATTATTGTTCAAATAGTAAAAAGTTATGCATTTAATTTCATGTGTGAATGACAGTGTAGGCATTGAATACTTTGCCCTGGTTTTGTACATCATAAGCCAGAATTATTAGCTGAAACTGCTAAAAACAATTTGGATTTTTTTCTGGCTTATTTAATGGTCTGTTTGTATTGAGTTTCTTAGATTATTTTTCTCATAACACAACAATCTTGGTTTAGAAAAGCAACAAACCAGGATCACAGTTTGAAGAGATGTTAAATAAAATGCTTGTTTGCTTAGATAATTCTACCAGCAGTTTCTGAATATTATAATAAACTGAGTAATTATTTGTTACATAAATACAGGAAATTTTTAAACTTGTCTCTTCAAGAAATGTTAACTACTCAGAAAATTTATTCCAATCAGTTAGTTAAAGAAACTCAATATGAGTTAGTATTAGAGAAGCCAACTAGTATTGCTTACAGTAGTTATTGTTTAGGTTTATTGTTTAGTTATTGTTTAGTTACAAGTAGTTATTGTTTAGGTTTAAATAGAAACAGTGTTAATAGGCTTAACACTGATTTTTTTTTCCCCAGTAATATCCCTTATTTTTGCATCCCTGTTACTGTGTTAAATATTTTCTTCATTTCATCTAGGCTATCTGAAACAGTACATTTTCTAAATTTTGCATTCATTGCTGCATTAGTAACTCCAAATACAAAAGGAGGGATAACTTTGCATACTGACTGAGATGTTATGGTTACCATGTATATCATAGGAAATTGAACTGATAAGCTATCTTTTAAAAGTAGGTGTGCTTTAAGCCAGCATGGAAACTTCAAAGAAAAGTAGTGCTTTTTGATTGTGCAGAGTTTGTTTACACTGTATTGATTGAATTTTTATGTTCCTGCATTAGGTTATTACTAGCATTGTTGAGCATTTATATTCTTGGGTTTGGAATTAATGATTTAAATGTTTTTGTTGGCAATAAGAAATTGTAAGAGGGTGAACATTCACTAATTTGTGAAATTTATAAAACATCAGGTCTGTAGAAGCCATATTTGATAGTGTTCTGAATATGTTTTCTGATTATAATGTTGAGAGATTTATTAATTTGGCTTTCTTTCATAAACAATTGTCTAGTGGTTTTTAATTATAACAAATTCTTAATAAACTTTAAAATAGCCTTAGTATCTATACAACTGAATCTTCAATTCACAACTTTTCCTTGAAGCCATCCTTTATTACTCATTGTTGTTTTAATTAACTTTAAATTTGTGCTTCTTCCATTTTCAGATAATATCAATTTTGATGGCATATTAACTGAATGATTCTGGGACTTTCTATTGCCTTTGTAATAGAATAGGCATTTATTCAAAAGTCAGCCTTAAGTTTGTGCGAGAGGAAAATGGCTAGTACCCGGCTAGACCTCGCCTTAGCCAGCCAGCAACTGTGGCTGTAAAAGCTGAGTAGAGAGGCAGCTGCGTGTGGGGGGTGTGTGTGTTGATATGAGATGGAAACTAAAACTGAAAAACTAAACTGAAACTAAAACAGTCTAAAGCAGCCTAAAGCAAATTACTGATGCTGTTTTTCCTGAACTAGGGCTCACAAAGAGTAATAGTAGTGGAGGAACAGGAGTTTTAGTAGACTAGGAGAAGAGTGCTGTAGTAAACAGTGAGTTCAAGCCTTTGAGTATCGGTGGGTGTGTTCATTGGTGGGATTCAAATTTTTTTTACTACCGGTTCTGTGGGCATGGCTTGGTTTGGCATGGCGTGGTGGGCGTGGCAGGGAAGGATACTGTAAAATCTCCATTCCCACCCCACTCTTGCGGGAAGATTACTGCAAAATCCCATTCCCTCCCCACCTCACTAACCTGCTTTCCAGCTCCATTCTCCTGTGCAGGGCAGCAAAAGAAGACCCAGCCAATCAGCTGGGACTCGGGAGGCAGAGAATAGATGGGGGCAGGGCCAGTCAGAGATGGTATTTGCCGGTTCTCTTTAACTACTCAAAATTTCCACTACTGGTTCTCCAGAAATGGTTCAGAACCTGCTGATAGAACCCACTTATAGCCGTGTTGCCTGGAGGCCAAGTAGGGTTGTATTGGCTTTTCTTAGAGGTTTGAAATCCACTAACCTGGTAATACATATAAAACAACAGTATGCTCAATAAATGTTTTCACACATATATTTATAGTAACGCATTCCAAGACTTCTGGTCAAATTACTAGTATGTTTTTTGTTTTTAGTTATTTAAATTTTACTTCAAATCAAGGAATTTTTAAAAAGAGAATGTACCTCTTTTGGAATATACCATGCAGATAGTCCTTGTGTTATGGTCATTCATTTAGTGACTGTTCAAAGTTACAACAGGGCTGAAAAAACTGATCTATGACCAACCCTCACATTTATGACCTTTGTAGCATTCCCACAGTCACATGATCATGATCTGAGCCCATTTATGTTGATTTATCCTTGGATCATGCAGTTGCCATTTGCAACCTTCCCAGCTGGTTTCTCACAACAAAGTCAATGGGGAAGTTGACAGGGAAAATATCAAATTGTGATCAAGCGATGTCTCACTTACCAACAGTGACAAAAAGGGTAAAAATGGATACCTAACTCAACAACAATGAATTTCCCAGGCTTAATTGTGGTTGTAAATTGAATATTACCTGTATTCCAATAGAAGATAATATACCAAGGAATATATAGTTCAAGTCAAACACTGAGACAAACCTTGAGGAAATACAATTTTATATTATTGTGAAAATAAGCAAAAGTGAGTTTTGTTTATCGGTAGTATTGTTCCAGACATATTCTTGGGGATGAGAGACTTTACGGGAAAAGAATAGGAGGAATTCCTAAATGGGGTTAGGCATTTCTAATCACTGTGATTTTCTCAGTCTTGAGGTAGGCTAGCTAACTTGTTTATATTTGTGTGTTCAGAGGACTTGAGACAGAAGACAAACTCCCTTGGCACCGCTTACTGCAGGCATATTCCTGTTTTCCAGCCAAGCCAAATGCCTTAGATCCAGATACATACACATGCTTTTCCTGTGATACATAACATAATTGCCAATATTTGAAGATTGGCAACTTTTCCAGGTTAAGATCTATTTTCCAATCTCCATATGGGAAAAATGCTGCTGTAAAAAAAATTATGCAAACAGAATTTTAAAAGACATTCAAGGCAACTGGCATGTATTCAGCTAAAAATCCCCGTAAAGACCTGCTAAACTCTTGGCTGTCATAAGTCATTCTTTGTGTATTTGCATTTATTTATTTACAATTATGTTTGTCTGATGTTCTTTTCATCAAGTTGTTTCATCAACTATTAGCAATGGATATTTTTCCTAATGTGGAAGTATATCCATGATTATAAATATATAGTGTGTATATGTGTATGCATGTATACGTATATGTGCATCTGTGTAATGTATGCTTATATAAATGGAATGAATACACACACACACACATATTTATGCATATTTATATACATCTATAAACCATAAATGTTGAATGAGATATATTTACAGTTAGCAAAACTATCACAGCTTGTCCACAAGTTTTTGGCATTTCTGTTTATAAATCTTTAGGGAGCTGGGAGATTAATACAAGTCTTAATTTCTTTTTGTAATTTATTATTTTCATTAAAATGTACTTAGCCATAGAAGACTCACATTTTATAGTGCAGCTGAAATACCAGTTATATTTGCTATAAGTACTTCCCAAAGTTATCCTTTTCAGACTTAAGAATTGGTGTATTCTTTTCTACAGTATATATACAGTATATTAGCATATATAATATAGTGTGTGTATAGATAGATAGATAGATAGATAGATAGATAGATAGATAGATAGATA